TTTCTTTTTTTCCACACTGACAACGCAGAGAAAACTAATCAGTTTAAACTAATCAGTTTTTAAATTAATTTACCATTAAAAAAAAAGTCTTTTATTAATTTACTTGGGTGAGAAGACTTTTTTCTTCAGTCTATGGAGATTTTTATACAAGAAACAGTTTTATCGTGGGCTTTGATGTCACAGTGATCAGCCACCTGGGAGAATGGAATTTTGATTACTATGTGAAAATTTTTTCTTCAGTAAGTTTTCTCACAATCATTATTGAAGACTGTATTGACGTATGGGGCGTACTTTAAGGATTATAACAGTTTAAATAAAAGCTCTTTTCATTTTTGAGAATCCACTAGCAAAAAAGGTAGCCAGCTTGGCTGGAGCCTTGGGGAGATTTGTCAGGAATTCAGAAGAGGGAAAGTTTGGAAGATGGAAAAACCATCTGAGCTCACTGTGAAGCGGGAAGTGTTCCAGTGCTATTTTTGGTTTTGTAGTACTGTATACTGGAGGAGCTTTCTATGAAATGAGAGGTGACACTACAGAATCTTGGAATAAACTTATATGAAATATGCTGTTCATGGAAATATATATGTTTCATATCTTTAGCATTTAGTCTAGTCTGATAAATGACTGTAGCTTCTTTTGATCCCCTACTTAAAGCCTCCTGCTCCTTTTTCATAGGAATATATATCAACCCTGTTGCCTCAGTTTGCAAACCTACAAACGCCATTTGGTGCTTTTATTGTCAACCACCAGGTCAGAAAACTTGTACCTCAGTTAATTCACCTGAAGAAAGCAGGAGACATAAAACAATCCACTACATTGGCTTTGAACTATTGGGCCAGAGAGAAAAAAAGAAAGTAAAAAACTCAAGGTTTATTTTAACTCCTGAAATTATTAGGTAAGAAGAAAACTACTAAAACCCCTGTATATATAATAGAAAATGAGGAAAAAGCAAAGCTGCAGTTATTGATGGAAAAGATGATAACTTAATTCCACTGATAAGGATGTTCTCATTATTCTGTCTCTCCTTACCCCTCCTAGGCACTAGAGCAGATTGACAGTTGGTTGTTTGAATTCATGTAAGCAAGAATATATCAGTAATGTTGCCAGTTTAGCACTTAGCCATCTTAAGAATAAAATCAGCACTGTCAATGGAAAATGGAAATGACCATGATGGGTGCAGAGAAAACTCTCCATTCTTAGATTCTTAGATAACTTCTTTGATGTCTTCCAGAGTAGTTCTAGGTGGATTTAAATTGGTCTCATTAGCAGGCACTAATTTATTTATATTTGAAGAGTGTCTTACAAATTATCTACTTCATAACTTGGAAAGAACTTGTGGGTAAACAAACTTTAATAGAAAAAGAGTGGAAAACATCTCTTTTAAAGGTGTTTTAATTTTTCTTAAACAGCTATAAGATTAGCTACCTTTCCTGGAGGAAGGGGTTTGTTATTATTTCTTTTTGACACCTATAGAAAATTATGTATTCGTGTCACAAAATGGGTACAGTTCTTAGCCTGGCAGAAGTTGCTCAGCTATTTGACAATGTTTGGCTCCAAGCTGAAAATACTGTTTAAAAGAGAAATTTGTATGAACTTATTCAGACTTCTCAACCTTTAGTGTTATATAGAGTGATTATTTATTTATGTATTTATTTATTTAAATAATTACTTGGTAGAACACTACAGTGGATTACATTTTTGTAGTATGTCATTATTACAATGTACATATTCCATTAGTAAGTTACAATTATGCCTTGGCATTTTTTTAATCTCTAGCAGTTAGACTGCTATGAATTTCCTCTGAATGCATGCCTAACTGTAAAAAGACCCCCCTTTCACGTCTATCCTGCATCTCATGGGTTATTGTTCATTAAGTAATTCTCTTTCTGAGCCCTGCTTTTGTGCTCTTTTCAGCAGCTCTAAAAGTGCTGTGCCTGATTCACCATTGCTTTCTGCCTTCATTTATACCCTCAGCTGCTCAGCTTTTGTGTGAGTGACAAAGGTGCACAACAATCATGAGTCAGGCCTTTTACAGATCCTTTCATTAACATTGTCACCATTTCTACTTAAAAAAACCGACAACCTTTGGCTGAGTTTATCGCTCATGAACAAGGGGATGTCCTGAACATTTGGTACGGATTTAAAGGCCATTCTTTTCATTTCTGTCTCTCTCATGAGACAATTTTGACACATACTGAAGTGCATTTTCATTTTTGTTTTGTGGGGACTGGAGGAAGAATTACTATGTATAACTTTGATGCCGAGCAGTTCCAAATTACTTTTTGTTCAAGGATTCCCAACAGGCACTAGTCTCCTAACTTCCACAAGGCAAGGTTTCTGGCATTTCATTTTTACATATCAGGAAACTGAAGCATTTGGTAGAAGTAAACAAGTTGCCTTGGTCAAACTTGAAAATAAACATCAATTTGGTTAAATCCTCATTCTCAATGACAAAAGGCAAGGGTACCAATGTAGGACATTATATGACATCCATGTGATCTCTTCTTTTCCTTTCACTCAGTAATTCTGTAATTCAGTAATTCTGAAATCCTGCCATTATGAGTGTGTGTCCATACCTCTTAAAGAAGATAGATTGTCCCTTGGTACTTTAGAAAAATACTCAAAACGGCTCTTTGGAAAAAGAGGCAATAAGGAACGAATTCAGATCTTACATTTTTGTACTGCTTTTCCCCTTCGTACTTGGCAGTTTCTTCCATGTATTATATTTGGCATTATATTGCTAATCTTATTGAAATATTTCTGTTCATCTAGACACAGAAAATAGTGCACACATACCCAAATAAAATATTAAGTATAGGGATAATCTTAAACAGTTTCAGAACTAAAAGTCCCTATGAAACATGATGTATTTATGCTACCCGGTTCTGAATGCATCCCAGATCAGACAAGTACTTAACGAGGTCAGATACTGCACCTCTAAAAGAAATGGTCCCCTTTTAGGGGAAGCATAGTATTGCTCACAAGCTGGTTAGATATTAACCAGTTCAGGCAATATCCCTTCTGTATATTACAAAGATAACTTCTGAGATCTTATTTCCTGTCTAGGCAATGCCTTAATCTGAAATGAGATCTCATTTCTGGGTTAGGGGAGATGCTTGATTTGGAAAACTAATTTGGAAATATGAGTTACAGTGACTTCCACATTGCTTTTCCAGGAAAAATAGAGAACTTACACTGCCATTCTAATTAATCCACACTAAGTTTTCTAGTAATTTACAGGTTTGTCATGAAACTTTATCAGATGCCGAGTTTATTCACAGCAGAGAAAATCTGTAATAAATCTGTCAGAATCAATTGTGTTAATCCAGGCTTGCATCAATATTAATAGAAACAAAATCTAAGTATATATTAAATAAATTGAGAGTTTATATGATTTAGGAGTGTAAAATATTACAATTACACTGACTATATTTGAATTTGGTTTATAGAAACTAGTAACATATACTCTTTGTTCAAGAGCTTTCCAATGTGGATTTACATAGGTAATTTTATCCCAGGCTGCTTGGTATTTGACATAAATCCTATTTTTTCTGGAATAAACCAATAATAAAGCTTTCTATTTTTGAAAAGGAGATTTAACCTTCATATTTGTGAATGAAAGCTGGAAATCCTGAGTCTAGAAAACCCAAAGCATGAATTATTTGTACATAAAATTGCAGCTTTTTAGTGGGGGGAAAAAGAGTTTATTTTCATTTTAATCTTGGTCCTGTTTGGTGAATGCTTGGTGCTGGTGAGGCAATGTGGGTCTACACATACTTGTATGGAGGTGTGAATGTGCACTTTTTCTTATGCATTGAACCTGATATGGAGCATATTGATGCCTTTCTGAAGCTCAGGAATGTTTTTCCAGGTGGTATTTGTGGTAGATTAGTCATTTCCTAGTGCATAGAAAATGGGAATCATGATAAACTGGGGCCAGACATGGGGGTTTTTACTATTACCTGGGCACGACTCTCACCAACAAGGAGAGATGGTTGTATTCCACCCAACAAGCTCACAAAAGGCATAAAGAGACATATCAGGTGATACCAGCATAATCAGTGTGTCATTCACAAAGAATATAGTTGCAGAAATTCACTCAAACATTTTTTTTCCTGTTATTTCCTTTTTCTAGAATAAACAAGTGAGCCAAACAAAGATCCGGGTGATCTCCACCATTGCCTTCATCCTTGCAGGCTGCATTGTCTTTGTGACCATTCCTGCATTTATCTTCAAATACATCGAGGGATGGACGGCCTTGGAGTCCATTTACTTTGTAGTTGTTACTCTGACCACTGTTGGCTTCGGTGACTTTGTAGCAGGTGAGCAGCTTTACACCAAGGCGCTGTGCACAAGGGCCTTGGCTCTTAGAATTTGTTTTCTGGTATGGATAGGAGGCTCTTTACAATATGTTATATTCCATTGAAAGGATGCCAGGTGTTTCTGTTGGGACTGCTGTGCAGTATGACACCAGGCTGATTTAAGGGCCATTTGCAGATTGTGAGCCCTCAGCAGTGCAGATAACGGGAGCCTGGAGAGTCCTGATTATCCTTTATCATGCAATGAATTATGCAAAAGTAAAATTACTTTCCCGTTGAATTAAAGATTTGTATTAGTCCATTAGCACTCAATCTGAGGCTGCCTGCAGAAGCAAGTAGCCCAAATGATGGATGGAGGAAGCTTTTACAAAGGACAACTGAGCCATAGGTCTGTAGAATTCACTGGTAAGATGCAGTAGTGGGCTGCTACTACAGGAGCTGCAGCATTTCAAAACCTGCATTCTGCTTCCTAACCTTGGCAGAAATTTTGACATTACAGTTGCCCTGTTAAGGAAAACTCTTGTAGGAGAGAAGGACTAATGGGGTATGTATCTCAGTGCTTGGAGGAGACTCTCCAAGATTTATACAGTATGAGCAGGAGCTATAAATATCTACCTATACACAATTTCCAAAGAGGGAATTGAGATAGTTGGCTGGAGAGATGAGAGATACATTTTTATTCACACAACTTCTTTGCTAAAAAAAGGTGGTTAAAATAAGTGGATTTTTTCCCATCAATGCATGACCTCTACTCCTCATTCCTGTTAGTGGTCCTAATTAAAGGTATTAAGTTGCCTGTGTTAAAAACTGTCATATTGTGCTTCTTAGTCCTTATAAACAGAATGAGTTAAAAACATCAAATAAAACTAAAAAATTTTCTTTGCTGAAGAACAGTGGACAAGTCCTTTTTGTAGGGAAGTCTCTAATCCTCCTTTTTATGGCATACTGGCATAGAAGACATGAATTATTGAGAAAAAAATCACTGAACAAAGAAACACCCAGATAAAAAAGTTTTACGAGCATTCAGTTACAGAAGTGATTGTGTGAGCTTTGTCCTTTCAACCACTTAGAAGAGTAAAGGAATTCACTGATATCCTTTGCGGTATCACAGTGTGAAATAAAAATAATTTACAATATTTTTCTTAATAATACCACATTTCAGTATTGTTTAATAATGTGATAATAAAAATGCTCTGAATATTAAATTGTTCTGTATGTACATGATTAGGAGAATATAATCCACAGCTGGGTGGCTACTAACAAGCAGGATTTTTAAAAATCTTATGGAAGACCCTGAATAAGAAAACTTCAGAGACATTTTCATAAGATTTTAAGGCAGGTGATTACCAGGAGATTTGAAGTTTATTGCTGGTTTTGAGAGAGATTTTCTTCCCCTTTTATTTTCTGTCTCTTTAATCTCTCAGTATCTCTGTTCCTTCAACAGCAAATCAAAAATACTATATCTTAATGGTTAAAACAGCACCAATGGAGCTATGCTGGTTTATTGCACCTAGAACAAATCCTAGCTCTTGGGAAACTGGGGGGTTTTTGTACTACAGTAGGAAATAAAATTGTGCATGGAGCCTGAAAAAACAGAGTATCTGATAGGCTGAAAAAAGTGGTCTCATGCTTTCTCAGTCACCTGATTACTCTGCAAGATAGATCTAGACAATCTGTTTCCTAGTGAGCTTCCTCAGGGACATGTATGATCAGAAGAGGCTTCTTGTACCATAGCAACAGCAGTCCCTACCTCCCATTGTTTCAGACTCTAAAAGACAGGAAAAAAAAGAGTGTGATTCATGCAGTCTGTGGGGAGAGATTAACATCAAAACCAATATTTGGGTCCCTGCCAATTCTTAAATGTCTGACCTTCCATGGGGGTGTTCAAACACTGTAACTACACTCATATTGAGGCTTGATAAAATTAAAGAGTCATAGAAATGTCTCAGATCGTGAAAAGCAAAAGGAAAAATGCTGAACTGTGTTGTCTGGTGATTTTAACAGGGAAAAACCCTAAAATCTCTCTGCAGTCATACAGCAGTATAGGTGTTTAGCTCTTTCTAACCAAGGCTGGAGTCCAGGAAATATGCAGACCTCTGCTTGAGTCTCCTGGTAGGCTTGCTCTTTGGGCAGGGATTTGCCCAGGTAGCACCAAGGTGATGTTCACTTGCATTGAGGGATGGGGCTCTGCAGACTCTTTGTGGCTCACTCTCTTCCACTCAGGGCTGTGCCTGCCTCTCACTGGCTCTCATTCTTGCAGTGCACATAGCTCTGTGATGGGACTGAGAGTCTCAAAAGCGAGGTTGTGGTTGTTTTCTTTTGTAAAATTTACTCTGTAGTAGGCAGCAATCTGGCCGCTACTGCACTTATTTGAGGGTCTTTGTAGTCTATTAGGTTTGCCAAATGTCTCACTTCTTGTTTTGCCAGCTCATGCAGAGACTTGCATGAAGAACAATATACTACATTTGTTGCTTGGTTTGACCCATATCTCCTATGAAGTCACTGGCCAGAGAATGCATCTGTCTGAATGATACCCAAGCAGACTGTATTGCCTTTTTTTAAGGGCTAATGCATGCTTGGCTTCCTGTCAGACACCCTGATTTGAAAGACAAAGTTCCATTTCTTTTTTCAGCACACAGATCTCTCAATCGTGTAGCTAAATCCAAAAGCATCGGGAAACTCTACAACTTAAGGGGGTTGATCTGTAAATTTTCTCAACTATGACGCTGCAGGCAGTTCAGAATAAGGAAGACTAGCTATATTAAAATTTTTCTTGGACATGTGTTTGTGATGTTGCAAGTACTATCAAAGGAGAATTTCAGACCTGCCTAATCATATGAGCAATACAAAGGAAAGTGTTTACTGGGTGGTCTGGCAGGTCACATAGCAGCAGAACAATAGGTAATTTTGAAGACTTTAAAATTAAAGCAGACTGAGTTTCTCCCATCTGACAGGCTTCTTGTCTTACTATCAGAACTACAGTGCTGTTGACAAGAGTTAAGAACTACTTTTAGACATTTTTCAGATTTGCAGATATTTTCTAATAATTTTGGCACCTCATGATTTGTAAGCATAATTCCATGCTTATTTCAGGAGGAAATGCTGACATCAAATACATGGAGTGGTATAAACCCTTAGTGTGGTTCTGGATCCTTGTTGGCCTTGCTTACTTTGCTGCTGTCCTGAGTATGATTGGAGACTGGTTAAGAGTCCTGTCCAAGAAGACACAAGAAGAGGTATGATCAGTAATTTCTCAGTGGTTTGTCATTTTAAAAGAGAGATTTAAGTACCTGATTCCTGCTTGTCTAAATAAGGAAGCTGCTCTACATGACCAATACTCAATATATCCAGTGGTTTACTTCACTGTATGCCTTTGGTTTACAGTAAGCTCTGATCTTTATCTCCTTCACAAAGGAAGATAAAAAAGCAATGGAAGCAACCAAGGTTGTTACACCTCTATGAGCACTCAAAAATACACAGAACACATCAGTAGGATTGCAATTATGGAATGAGATGCCAGTCTTTACTCTGAAACTAGCTATGAAATTGTGCTAAAAGTTTCAATGTTCTCTCCTTAAAAATTAGGAGATTTTCCTGTCATTTCCTATGCCAGGGAGTATGCGTCTGAATAGAAGTTTAGATTTAAGTCCCTTACTGTGTATTCTGTTTTTAAAAGTTGAAGAAATTGAGTAGTCAGCATCAAGGAGAGAATGACTAAATTCACTCAGAACATATCCTCCATGGTTCAAAGAGGATGCTGCTAACAAATAAGTGTTGAAAATAGAAAGGCAAGTGCCTGTGGTGGAGGAAGTAAGTAGCATAATTTGAAATTTTAAGGCAAGCTCCTCCTGCTTTACTAGCAAAGCTTACCTGGCAGGGTTAACCAAATAGCAGGCAAAATTTGGCAGGAGGGTAGTACTGTTTCTAATTTTTGAAGGCATCTGCACCACCCAAGGCCTGGTGCATCCCCCATGCATCTCCATTAATAAAGGGGACTGCAGGGAGTGTGGCTGTTCTGTTGATCATCAGGCACCTACAGCAGGGAATCTGGTCTCCCACATGGATGCAAGGTGCCCTCTGCCACAGTGCTAAATGGACACCTGTGCATCTGGCCTGCAGAAAAAAGATGACTCCTTGTGTGTTATTGGCTGCAAAAACTTGAGTTCAGGCTTCAGCAGCACAAGAAAACCATGGAGTGTGGTGGGCTCCTGAAGACACTGTACTCCTGAATCTGTTCTTCTTTAGCTGAACTTTGAGAAAGGTCTGTTTTAACTGAAATATTGTTTGGTCATTCATCTTGATTCTTCTCGTTTTGGAAGGCGTATTTATTGAATACGGCCATAACTTGGGGCTTTACTCTTAGCCATTATTCCAGCCTCCAGTGCAAAGGAGTAAACCAGACAAAGACAGTAGGACATTCAAGGATATGTTCATAGTGCCCATACAGAATGTGTGTTGAAAACTCCTCTAGATGGCTTGACAGTGTGGTATTTGGACCATTGTGCAATGGAAACCTCCATTAAAGACAGCTACATTTGTCCCTGAAAATGAACCCTAGACTGGAGGAGTCAGAGGGCCACTTGGAATTATCTAATTTTTATTTAACTGTAACTCTGTGGCTCTGAACAGAACCTTCAGTGGGACTAAACAGCTGCATCCATGAGCAATACAGGAAAACACATTCCTGTACTGCTGCACTGGTTGTTGTGACGTTCTGAAGCGTATTGGTTTAACTACATGTGATTAACTTTGCCCACTCTTGACCATCTACTGCTGACGTTATGAGTCAAGCATTTTGTTCTTAATCAAGGATGGATTAGCATGAACATATCCCATCACATAACACAGCAATAAAATGTGTGGGGTGGCAAAGTGGCACAGGCAGATGAGTTCTATGTCACAAAAGCCATCAGTTGGTGTGTTCAGAGTTTGCCCAGTGTAAGCCTTTGCTACTGAAATTTGGGTCCAGTTGGATGCAGTGGAGATGGGACCACTCCCCAGTTTCATGCCAGAGAAGAAAGTGCTTGTGCTACTGATCTACAGGAAAGATTTTCCCTTTAAAAAAAAAATAATAATTTCTCTTTCTTCATGTTGTAAAGGTTGGAGAGATAAAAGCCCATGCAGCAGAGTGGAAAGCAAACGTGACAGCTGAGTTCAGAGAGACACGGAGGCGGCTCAGCGTGGAGATCCACGACAAACTTCAGCGGGCAGCCACCATCCGGAGCATGGAGCGCAGGCGCCTGGGCCTGGACCAGCGAGCACACTCCTTAGACATGCTCTCTCCAGAGAAACGCTCTGTCTTTGCTACCTTGGAAACAGGACGCTTCAAGGCCTCCTCTCAGGAAAGCATCAACAACAGGCCTAACAACCTGCGCCTTAAAGGGTCAGATAAGCTCAACAAGCATGGGCAGGGGGCATCCGAGGACAACATCATTAACAAATTTGGATCGTCTGCTAAGATGACCAAAAGGAAAAATAAAGACCTCAAAAAGACTATGCCTGAGGATATGCATAAAATTTATGAGACCTTCAGAAACTATTCCTTGGATGAAGAAAAAAAGGAAGAGGAGACAGAGAAGATGTGTAATTCCAAGAACACTTCTAGCACTGCAGTTCTGACCAACTGCATCCAGCAGCACTCAGACCTGGAAAATGGAGTGATTCCCAATGAAGCCAAAGAAAGGGAGCATAAAAACAAAGTGTTACTTTAAGACAGAAGTTAAATGTAAAAGATACTTGAGTTAACAATGTTGGTGTTTTTATATATATATATTGAGACACGTGCCTTATACAGACTCCTTATTCAGTCTGAATTATATAGCATCGAAGAATATTTCACTGTGCCATAAAGACTCAAGCTTGCTCTGCCAAAACAAATCAGGAACACAGCACTGCAGATTGGCAACAGAAAGCTACGCACATGGAAATTTCAGCCTGTATAAGATTACCAGGGCAAGACACAAAGGAAAGGATTGAACCATGGCAGTATCACCACAGGGCTCCTACCATGGTGTGATATTAGACAAAGGGCAGCTATGCAAGAAAGGCCTATGAAAGGGATGAAAAACAGTGAATCTTTGTAATTGAGTATGCATCCATAAAGCCTTCCCCTGGTGATTAAAAAGAGGAGAAATGATTGGAGTGAACTAGAAACTTTCAGTAAGGCTTAGTTTACGTTTTGGCACGTGATCCAAGCTAGATTTTTTTTTTCCCTATGTTTGAGTCAGATGCATTACCTTTCTAAATGCCAAAAGAATGTCCATGGACACAGCTAGCAGCTGGATGCTAGTTGGAAAATCAACACAGACATAAGTAAGGGTTGGATTGCTCTTTTCATAAAAAAGAAAAAATAAAAAAACAAAGAAAAAACAAAACAAAACAAAAAAAATCTGTGGGTATTTATCTTAAGCAATGAAAAAAAACAAAAAAAGAAAAGAAACAGATGGATTTTTTTCTCATGTAGGAATATTCAACGTAAAGTCACAGCAAGAAAGTACATATGAAGAAAATACATCACATACAATGTTGTTTAAAAGAAGAGTAACATCAATTTAATGATATTTGGCTAAAAGTATAAAACAGTGGGCCAACTTTTTTTTTTTTTAAGAATTTCTCATTCACACTTTCTACCACTGAAAAAACTCCTTCTATTTTAATGCTGTAAGACTATAAGGACAGAAGGGAAGCTATAGCTTTTGCATGTCAGCAAACTGCTGTTCTCAAGCTGAATCTGAATTTTTAAAAATAGACATAAGAGCATATATATGATTCAAATGAGGGCCAGGGCAACCATAGAATCTCAGGGCTCTCTGCTCCCTTTTTCTGGGTTTGGTTTAGACATAAGCTGCTGTCATAATCTCAGAAAAAAAAAAAAGTAAAAAGAAATTTAGGAAAAAAATATTGTGGTAATTTTTTAAGTGCTTATAGCTTTAAGTGCCATTAATGCTGTTATATTTTGTAACTTTTTAAACAAGTATTTTGAATTATCTGGTTTATTTCCTTTCAAGTACTATCTTTGTTGGAAATTTGTTATCCCTTTTATTGAGAAAAATGAAACATGAGCTCTCTGCACATTTAGACTAAAGTGAAATGTAACTAAACTGGGGGGATTTTTAAAAAATCCTTTTTGCTGTCTGGGCATATGAATAGGAAAAATAGAATTGTGTCTAGACTTCACAGTAAATTTTCAAAGAAAATGCTGCAAAATAATCAATGGGAATTGCAAAACATACTAAATTTTTTATAGTATCAGCCTGTAGGCTACTGGGTGGGCCATTGCAGATAGAAGATTTTGCATGCTGGAAATGAGATACATGATTGTACCAGCAATGCTTTCCCTGCTCTTTCGCAAAATCCTAAATATTCTTGCAATTCAAACTGTAGGCTTATAGGTAAGGTAAGCATGGATGTTGATTGCAGAGACTCTTGCAAGCTAGTCAAACATGCAGACATCCACAGGTCATGCAGACACGGACTTTTGGAATTGCATGCCGATGTCTACATACACAAAAATGCATGTGTCATTCCCTGATACTTTCTGAGATTTTATGCACAATAAGACAGCTCAAAATCAAGCTGGCCACCACAATTCAAGATTGCCATGGCTATGAATGGAAGCATGGCAGTGTGAATGCAAATCTTGAGTATTCATATTTGCATATATAATAACTCTTCTGGATTTACAGGAGTGAGCCAAATTCCACTAGTGCAGAGGAGGAAAGAAGTTTTTAGTTAGTTCTGTCTGCTGGTTCACTTCTCTTGAAAGTCTTATCATCTTTCTAATTTCATTATCTGTCTGAAAATCAAGGATGAAAAAGCAATGTCTGAAAAATTTCAGGTCATTTGGTATTTCTCTAACTCAATAAGATCCAAGAGAAATTGAATTCTGCTTACTTTACCAGTGAATCTCTTGAGGTGCAGGGCAGCCCTCTATCTTAACCTTACCAGAGGCAGGGCAGTAAGCCCAGTCCCTGGGGAGGATTCCACTTAACTCAAGAACTGCCCTGGCTTCTGGAGATTTTTGTGCCAGACAGCCCTGTGCTTGGCTTCACAAACACTCAGATGGCAGCTTGTGACCATCCTCCTCAAACCCCAGGCAGACACCAGCAAGGTGCAGGTCTCCTCAAGCACTCGAGCTCTTTAGCCTGCCTGTTACTGCTGGTTTTGGGCACATTTGAGTGCCACATATGAACAAATGTTCTGAAGTCTCATCCATGAATATCCATGAATATCCATATTGATCCATGAATACAGAATTAGTATTCTGTAGTGCCAGGATGGATGAAGCACATCTGGATGTACCAAGGCTGTTCAGACCTGGTGTTTTATTGGTAGGAGGTTAGGAGTGAAAGCTACAATTCAGATTTGTGTTTGAATTCCAGAAAAGGCTCAGAAGTGCTGAGACATACAATTCAGGTCTGAGAATTGAAGTAATTCCTTGTTGCATCATCCTGTGCTTTGCATCTATGAAGGATCTGGCACCCAAAAGCATCTCATCTGACTCTGAAAATATGCAATACATTCAGTTGTGCAAATAATTCTCCTTGGCTACCAAACGCCATGATCAACATCATGCATGCAGTATTATCTGTTCTTCAGATGAGTTCTTCTCACAAGAAATGCTTGCCTGCAATAGAAAAGTTCTGCATAGTCATACAGATATCTGTAAGGATATGGGAGATGCATTTTCTGTATGTGAAATATAAAGTTTAGCCATAGCCAGGGCATTCCTTCTGATTAGGGTCAGGGAAAGTAGTCTGTCTTGTAGGAATTGTCTGTGTGAGCAGGGAGTTGGGCAACAGGCAAATCACAGAAAACAAGTCAACATGGAGAAGTGAGGAGGCAAAATTTGTTGGGCAAATTCAAACTGTTTGCTCTGATGCAAGAAAAGGACAATGACATCTTGCATAGTCTTAATCTTAAATTTCTGAGTTCTCAGTCTGTCCCCTGTCCAGATTTCTAAGTGATGGTGTGTGTGTGTCTCATTCTAGTTTCTGTGCTGCCGTGCCATGCAGGAGTCCCTGGTTGACATTTTATGAGCTGTTTCTTCAGCATCCCCTTGTTTGGGATATAATAGTTCAGGGACAAAAGGTGATGCTCAATAAACTCTCAGTGACATACTGAGCAGAGCATTTGATGACCTTTTATATGAAAGCAAAATGCTCTCTCATTCCTCTCAATTTCTGTGTCTGTGAAACTTGTTCAGGAAGTTGCCAGGCTATGACAGGAGTAAATATTTTCTGCTACATGATTACCTCTTAAATACCTCAATATACATAATTTTTATTATAATATGGGAAGTGCAAATGGTGTATTTCCTAGGGGGCCAGATAGAAACATCTTGACACCTAAAATGACATTTTAATGAGCTAAATTTCTTTTTCCCCTTTTAAAGGGCATCCTTTGGTTTTAATTGTCTGCAACAGCTTGAGAGAGAATCTCAGTTCAAACATCAGGTGTTTTTATGGCTAAAATTCTCTTCCTCTGGCATTTAGTAACACCTTTAAAAACTTGTCATGTTATATCTAGTGAGGCCATTCCACCATTATAGAAAAGTTTTAGCAGAAGTAGTCTGAACCATATTCAAAACTTCTTTCTCTGAATTAGGCCCTTTCTAAGCAGCCTAAAAAGAAGAAGTCAAACAAAAGAGTGGAGTACTGACTTTAACTCTCCATTCCTGTTCTGAGCATAACATGGGAATTGGGACCTGAAAGAACAAAGGAAATTGGATTTTCTGTAGCTGCAGCCCTCACACGTAGAGGATGACTCAGCTGCTGTATCCCTACAGCTTTCAGCTGTGCAGTCCCACTTTCCACTGCCTCGTGCAGAATTCTGCTATGCCACTTTGGGAATCATTCTGAACCATTAACCATCATAAGCATTGCTGAACTTGTGCAGATACTGGTTTTCAAAAGATTTCTAATTTCATTACCACTGAATAGGGAACATTATTATAATAGTAAATAAAATACAATAATCCCTCTCCAGTAATTTATATTCATGAAACCTGATTTTGATTGTGGTCATGAAATTATAAATCACTCGAGCTTCTGCTGCCTGGCTTTAGGATGTCTCTAGTACCAGTCTGCTTCCTCCAAAGCTATTAATGGACTACACCAGAGACTTTCTGAAATCTCTAACCCATAATAAATTAAATTATGTCTGAGTTCAGGTTATTAAAACCTTGTCCTTAAAAGCCCTTCATTTTTCTGAAGTATTTGTATTTATGCTGTACATGGGCTGTTTGTTTGCCAGCACTGGTTTTCTCAGGGGTTTATTTGTGTTGTCAGGTTGCATGATGTCTGCTACTCTCAGTTTTCCCACCGTCCACTAGAAATAAATTACAGGTAAAGACCAAGTGTTGTGTTATGTTGTGTACTAACCTAGAGCAGGAAGTCTCCTGCTAAACAGATATGAATTTGAAAGGTGAGTGGGGACTGTTTCAATTCTCCCTGTACATTTATTTGTTCTGAGCTATGTTTTGTCTAATCTAGGCCAAAATCTGCCCCTGTAAGTCTGTGCAGGAAAGTGGAGCTTGCTTGCTATTTTTAAGCTTTTTATAGCAAAGGCCTGCTGTTATAACTCATCTCTACTGTGCAATTTATACTTACTGGAATGGCATCATATCAATACTAAACACAAATAAGCTCAGCTTCAGAAACATTTCCCATGGCATTTAAATATCAATGAAAACACAAGAAAAATCAACAGA